CAAGTCTACTATGCCCAAATCGACCATGGGAGAGTCATTAATGTGTTGATGTGATGTGTGTGCATCCATGAGAGTGATGACATCCGAAGAGGTGGTGGAAGTTGGCCATTCAAGCAAGTGAGTATGGTCCTCCTCTTTCATGAAAAAGGCATTTAAATCAATATCAAAGAGAGAGTCCTCTCCGAGCATTTCCTAACTCTCAATATGCTCCATAGGATCACTTTTGATTGGGTGCTCATTTTGAGCATCATGTGTGGGAGTGTGCACAGGTATTGAAGTATYAGGGAGACTCACAATAGGGTTGAGGTGGCATATGTCAAAGTCTGTGCTCTCTGTCTTGGTAACCCCTTGGGAGAGTGGCTGATCTGGAGGTGGGACTCCCGAGGGTTGTGTATTATCTTGACTCTCATCCTTTATCTTCATGCGTTTGGCTCGTGGTTTTCTTTGCTTGGGTTTCGGCAAACCTTTGGGAACATAAGTTTCCATATCGATGGCCTTACCTTCCTCTTTGGTCATTGGTTTGGTGACATGTCTTTCTGTGGACCTAGTGGCTGGTCTACGGGGTTTGGGTTTAGGTCTAGGTGGAGGGGAAGGGGGTGGGGCTGTTTGGGTTTGGGAAACAGTGGATAATGGAATTTGAGGTGTCCAAACAGTAGGGTTAGGGGCTGTTTGGGTTTGGGAAACAGTGGATAATGGAATTTGAGGTGTCCAAACAGTAGGGTTAGGGGCTGTTTGGGTTTGGACAGCAGGTGTAGGGGTTGGTTGGGCTAAGGAAATGGTAGGTTGGATAAATGTTGGGATTAGGACAGCATGTAAAAGGATTGTTTGGCCAAATGGAATGGCTCTAAGAGGGGTAGGACATGGGATGATGGATCTTAGCAACCACAGTGGTAGGTTGGCTAAGTTGGTTGGTAGAGGGAATGTGGTTTGTGGTATGGGAGGAGGGGAAGGTCGGGAAGGGTGAGGGAACCCAGGTGGTATCCTGTCATCCATGCCAAACCTGCACAAAAAGAATAAATCAAATTAGGACTGTGCGTACACAAAGAGTTCATTCATGTCTTGAAACCTGTGTACGTTGCTGTATTAACACATGGGTGAAGATCATAAGTACAGAAATGCAAAGCAAGCTTTTGGCTACTGCTTTTGAAAACACCTAGACTAAACAGCACCTAGACCCTTATGATCAACATCAAAATGAAACAGGAAGAGTAAGAGGAGAAACAAGATGAAACAGGATAAAACACCCACAGATCCTTGCTTGGTTGCATGCACAAAGGCCTAAGGTAGGATCAACCATATTTATAAATGCCTATCTATGAACCAGAAACAAAGGGCAAACATATACAAACATGGATCAACAATTATAGTTGTTTATGATCATGTGGTCATCAAATGCTTACAGCTTAGGGTCATGTAGTGGTTGGCTCTTGCATAGCCCAAAATGGCTGTTTGCACATTTATCAGTTTGGTCACCCAAAATGTAAGCATTATGCACATGTAAACATGAGAACATGCCAGAATCACACAACCAGCTTGGCTGTTCGTGGATGGTATGATCGAAGCCCACAAGGGCTGTTTGTACAGTTAGCAGTTTGGTCATGAGATCATATGCAAGAGAGAACACAGGTTAAGAGAGTGTCCAAACATGGTAAGCTAGCCGAGGGGTTTATGCTTTCAACTGTATCTAAAGCCTTGGAGTAGCATAATGGAACTCAACAAACAGTAAATGGGCAAAACTTCAGGCTTTGTGCTCTGTGTGCAATCATAAGCATTATGTATTGAACTCACACAATACGGCCAACTCAGATAGAAATCAAACTTGCTGTCTGTCTGAACTCTTGATTCGGCAAACATACAGAGACAGGTTGTGACTTATGGCAATAATTCTACATTAGGCATGCTTCAAAAACAGGTCTCATCTAGATAGCTTGTACGGACACCAAGTTTTTGGAAACAAGACTAACCAAACCACACAGTGACCAAGTCAGGCCTTGTTCTGTTTTGAAAGATTCATGAAAACAGAAGTGAACTCAGGTCTGGGTTGCCTGATTTTTCAATTAGAGGGAGTCAAAACTATCTCTTGTCTGCTGTTTTGGATGCATACATGAACAACTATTAAAGAGAAACACACACTAACAACAACAGGTCCCTTTCAGACAATCGAGACTAATGGTCAAGAGAGGCAAAGAAAACCAACAAAATGAAGGTAATAAAATCACCTTTTTCATAATGCTTGAAGACACAAAGCTTTTAGGCAGAAATCATGCTATTATGGTGTCAAAAACCCAAAATGTAAGCTTCATGCATATGTAAATATGAGAACAAGTCAGAATCACACAACCAGCTGTCAAAATGGTTGTTTATGTAGTTAACCTGCTTGGTCAGGGGTTCAAAGATATGAACAACACAGGTATTCGGATGCAGTTTGGAAACATAAGCAATATATCAATGAGTTTAATGTTTCCAAACTAGCAAAGCAAATGATCACAAAGCTAAATAAATGTCAAGACACACAGTTAGTGAGACATGTTGCTTGCAGTCATGTTCCAAAGTAGCATGATGATACCCAGCAGAATTTAATCATAGACACAAGTCAGATTCTTGCTTTGTGTAGGCAGGAGATGCAATGCAGATTTCAATCAAGGTTATAAGTGGGCTAAGCACCAAATGAAATCAATGCACAAGTCACATAAAGACAAGGAACAGATGGTCTGATTCTGCCTGATAATGACTGTTATGGAACAAAAATGCAGCTGTGTGATTAAGTTCTCATCACAGCCTCAAAATGGCTATCTGTACAGCAAACAGTGTGGTCACGAGATCAAATCCAAGCAGTCCTATAAGTATTATAATATCAAGGCATACTCATGGCAGGACAGCAAATGAGATCATGCTTACAACAAACAGCAAATGGACAACAATGAGGCTTGAACATATGAAATCAGTGTGGCATTACATCAAACCTTTAAGTGAGTTGAAGCATAAAGTCAAAGTGGAACCAACAAAGTCAAGTTATCCATAGAGTCATCCATAACCAACAATAGTAAAGTGATAAAATCAAAGCTACTTGCAAGTGGTCTTAGATAGAAACCATGTTTAAAAAGAAATTATGCTCATCTTTTGTTCATACCGATCAAAGAAAAACAGCCTTGTTTTTGTGCAAACACCAAATAAATCACAAATGCACGATGTACCAGAACTTAGGGTTAATGCTTGCCAAATGAAATTAGCACCAGAACCCTAATTAGCGTTCCACAGTGCTTGATTAAGCAAATAGGAATCCATTCGGCCAAAAATTGATTAACCACATGCGGCATTTTCCTTGAATGATTAAGAGTAGAGACAAAGATCAACATACCTGGTGTTATTTGACAAAAAAAATGCGTTTTCTTGGCTTTCCCCGATTCTATTGATGTTCGAATGAAATACTGATGCAACTATCTTCTAAGCACTCAGGTTAAAAAGAAAGGAAATAGGGGAGGGGGTGGGGCTGTTGATGACCGAAGGCACTGATGAAGATGATGCAAGGGGTGAGGGAAATTGGTAGTCGGCGATAGCGATGGGAAGGGAAAAGAAGGGTGCGATGGACTGATTTTGGGTCTGTGATGGATTGAGTTAGAAAAGGACAGGGAAGAAAAGAAATGGTGATGGTTTGTTTTGGCGATGGATGGGAAGTGAAACAAACAGGGGTGAACAGTGGCGGTGATGGTTTCTCCTTCTCGTACAAAGTCAGGCTTGATGGAGAAAGGGTGCAGGTTTTGTGATGAAATGGGTGATGATCTCTCCTTCTCGTACAAGAGAAAACAGTTGAT